CGTCGCTTCGTTGGGAGGATAGAGTCAAGATAAGAATTAACCATAGCTTTGCCTACAAATTGATGATAATACCTCGTTTTCGTTTCACAATAATTGATCGTTCCTACATATTACTAGACTTGGAAGTACCAATTTTGTTCCACATGCAAACTTTGTACGTACATATGTGCATGTGCATGTATTTAGAACAATTTTATATGTAGGCATCCATCCTGCACACAATATATAATTTAATTTTACCGTTATGATGTGTAATATGTATGCAATGATAATAAGTGAAATAAAAACAATTTTTCCAGTCTTGTAATTTTCATAGATAATATATCAAACGCTCAGCCCGACTTTACAGTCGCTTAAACGGCTCCCAAACACCAACGAGGTTTCCATGCCTGACATCACCATGTATTCTAAACGGCTTCTCATCGCTAGCGACGCTTATCTCAAAGTGTTCTCGCTTCTTGGCGCAAACGCGCTTTTATTCGACAGCCGAACCAACCAATTCTACACTACGCCCTATTCGCGGCGAATCACCCGATTTAACACGGTTGTACTCATTGTTCAAATTATTTTTGGCGCTATCAGACTCACCGGGTTTGGCAACCTGTCAGATAAAAGTGATCACGAACTTCTTACTTTCAACGTTTCGTACGTTGTACTTTTGGCAGTTTTTGTCCCACTAATTTGCTTACTAATTCTCACAACTAACTGTCCAGAGCTGGTAGATTGCTTCAACCAAGCGTTGAACTATATTTTTCGTATTAGGGAGACATGGGCATCGCTTAGTGATAAAGAAATTGCCTCCTCTTACCCAACGGGGAGGTTTCTAGATTGGTTTTTCGGCACTGTTGCCGAACAACCGAACCAACAAGTTTTATATTACGACAAATTCGCGCCGAACCACAAGATTCAACACAGTTTTACTCATCATCCAAATCCTTTATGGTCTCTTTCGCCTCTTCACATTAGACAATTTCTCAGATAAAAGTGCTCAGAAACTACTTACCTTTAACGTTTCGTACGTCATCATTTTGGCCATGTTTATTCCCTTAATTTACTATCTAATTCTCACAACTAGCTGCAACGAGCTGGTCGATTGTGTCCACCAAATATTTAACTATATTTTCCGTGTTCGGGAAAGGTGGATCACTTAGCGATAAAGAAATTGCCTCGTCTTACCCCACAGGAACTTATCTTGAGTGGTTTTTCGGTTCCATTGCCGGGCTGGTGTCTGGTTATTCGTTTTTTGGCGGTGTTACAATTTACTTAATGGACATTTTACCATTTCATTGGACGTCCTTAGTTCCCAAGAAATTAAGGAGTAGGGCTTTATTCTGTGTGCATCTAGGTTGCTATGGGTACCTGTTGATTATGAGCATCGTTTCAGCGGGAATTGGATTGGTGATTGTGGCCTCGTACGTTGGTGAGTTGGTTAAGATAATTTAATGGTAAGGTAGGGGTGTTAAATTACCGGTGAAAGCAATTAATTCTTAATGCTACACCGTTTGCTATGCTATACGTCTTCATTGTGGCGATGCTAGCGTAGGTTATTCGTTGGATAGTAGTACCAACAATTTTGTTTGTTCGTTAAGAACCGTCAAGATGTTATCATCCAAGGCTACGTTGTCACAGAAAACAAATACAAGTTATGAAAACAAGTATGTGTATAAATTGTAATCTAATTTTTATAATTTTCAGCCTTTCTAGTTCCCTTCCATACAGAATTTGACCTGAAACGCAAGTCTGGAAAGCATATTGTGCATGCTTCATTCCGCACAACTGCCATGCTTCCCATCGAGTATCGAAGCTTAGAATTAGTCCATCGGCGCGTTATGTCCCACTTTTCCCTGGCATTTGTACCATTTCAGACTCTAGTCCTTCAGTTCTCACTGTTCTGCAACTGGATGCTACTTGCCCACTGGGAGGCGTTAGGAATCTTTCGTTACCTGATGATTGCAGCGGCCCTTTGTCTATTGTTGTTTTGGACCACCGTGCTACAAGCGTGCGGTAAATTTTATGTACAATCAATAAAGAACCGGGCATCATGGAGAGTCCTAGCAGAAGACAAATATTTCCGAAAATGGAGAAAGAGTGTCACTCCGTTGTACTTTGGGCATCATGGATACCACGTGATTAAGCGGTTAAGCATTTTAAAATTTTGGAAGGCTATTTTCAGAGGGACATTTAGGACGATGGTTACCATGAGTAATGTTTAATTAATAAGAGTAGTTCATATATTCAAGTCGGCGAAATAGCTAAAGGTATCCAGACAACTATAAAGTTTATTTATACATACATACTCGAAATAAAAGTTACGAGATATGATGTGATACTTACTAGACATATGTAACAGAACTACGAGTAATTTACTGCGGGGATGTATTTTTATTTGAAGGGTTAGTTTCAAGTTTGCCCTTATATTACACATATACTGGAATACGTATGTAAGTATCTATGTACATGTTTCAGGACAAAGCTTTGGGCTAGAATAAAATAACTTCAGCAATCAATATCGACAAGCCCAGCTCAGACTTTAAGCATGGCCTTCTACCCCCTAATTGATACAGTTAGTCTTGTCAAATTAGTTTGTATTATTGAACTTCGAATTTTTAGTCACTATGAAGAAAATTGTAAATTTGCCCGAATATTCTCGAAGTATTCGGAACTACGCATGCAGATCCTTATCAATAAATACATACAATCAATCATGAATAGTATGATTTAGAAAATATTTTCAGTCTAGCAATTTTTCAAAGAAATAATCAACGGATATATTGTGCAGGATACATATATTAGTCTCCATTTAAATTTCTTCCAAACATTTAGAAATCTATTTCACCCGAAAGTATCATGTATTTTAACCGTTTCCTCCTTATGCCCCACGTTTTCAAAAAGGTGTTCCTACTTGGCGCAAATCCAATTCTATTCAGCACCCAACGAAAAAAATTCTACAGTACGCCTTAGTTCCGGCGTACCCCCCGATTTAACACGGTTCAAAATTTAGGAAGCCGGGGGACGTTTAGGGTCATGGTTACCATGAGTAAAGTTTGATTATTACCAATATTTTACTCGGCTACCTAGCAAATCAATAAATGTACTTATTCAAATATAACGGTTGTTGATGATTGGAATAACATTTTTGTTTATGCAACCTTGGGCACTACCACAGACGTTCGGTTTTCATTTGGAGAGTTTGTTTCAAATTACAGATATTCAAGTCTGATATTACATACATAAATATGTAAAGGCCATCCAGTAATGGATTGGACTGAAGAAATAAAATGCTCATAACTTTACACACAGTTAATGCAATTTCAAAAAAATTGCATATGTTTACTACCAATGGGTCTGGATTGCCATACAGTTCAAATTTTAATGATTAAATTCCGCAATATGCTACAGATTGCATTCTACCTCAAATTTCGCATCAAATTCCACCCATAGACTTCATCTACTTTCAAGCTGATTTTCTTCCAACTGTTCTTAAATTTTCGTAAGGTGTCTGGCGTTTCTGAAAGCTTAGAATATTTGGATTTAGTCAGCGCTCAGAATTTCTTAATTGGTCGCAGTTGAGGAAAATTTGGTGGGTTTTCATTTTTTGGCACAAATTCAATTTTTTTCAGATGAAAATACTAAGTGACCTTTTTGGCGTCATGGGACGTTGCTAGGTCAGGCCAAAACAAAACTTTATTTTTTTATGATCCTTGGTAATAAACGATTCCAATCCCCCTTTAATGCACGATTCAAGATAAACCTTCTGGTTTACAGTGCCCTCCAAAATGACGGGATCGGAAACATGGCCAATGCCAGACTTGTGTTGCCAAATTCTTCATTTTTTTGGAAATTGGTCTTTCTTTTGGACTTCTTCTTCATATTTTATTTCACAGAGGTTGGAACTATGGAAAAATGCTTTCATGAAAGATTTGAAGGGTCAGCTGTGACGCAGGGCTCATCGTCCATGACGACCACTTTTCCCCGAATCTTCTTCAACAATTTCTGACAGAACGCATGAATCCTTTCCTGTTGTATTGGTTTGTAATTTGGTGCTGGTTTTTTTTGCCCTAGCTACAATCTCCAGTTTATGGACTTTGATTTTGCTCAGATAGATTTTTGAAATCTTGACCTTCCTTCTCGTGGCAGCCGTTGCCGTTGATGGATGATTTTTGAAGATTTTTTTTATCCGATTTTTGACTTTTGTCGTCGCTAGCTTTAAAGGCCGACCAATTGGGACTTTGAATTTGCGTTCATTGGATTCCTCGTACGTTTTCAGGTAAGAGTAGACCTTTGAATGAGGAATACCTTCTTGCTTGAAAAAGTGCCAAGTGATTTTAGAAACATAGTTTGCTCGATTTTTGTGAAACTCAATTACTCTTTTTTTAAGTCTTGCCTTTCAACTCAAGTTATTCTAGTCTTAGCCATGACTCAATAATTGGTGACATATATCAATGGAAAGCTTATAACTTGGTCTATTCAAAAATAATTTTTTCGAAATTTAATTTCTCTGTGTTCCCGCCTAGCGCGCCTTCGACGGGGCAGTCCAATCCATAAGTGGATGATCTTTAAATAAGTATTAGCTATGCTTGTACACAGGTTAGGGGCTAATATTAAGCTTAATATTAGCCCCTAACTTAATATTAGCCCCATTATAGTTATCTAGATAACTATAATTCGCTCTAAATCGGCAAGCTCAGTGCAGACCCTAATTACGACCTACGATGCAAAATTAATATAATCAAGGTTTCCAAGAATCGGTTATTTGTGCAATTTCAAACTTTTAGGAATTTTGAACATTTTTATTACATGTGTAATTTGCTCGAATTTCTAAACTGTTTGTATGCATTTAAATAGATTCTCGTCAATAAATACATACACTTTTACATTGTGCACGCTATGATTTAGATAATTTGTTATTGTAGCAATACCAAAATAATAATATTTGAATACAGGGAATATATTGGGCAACACATTTTAGTTGCTGCTTGAATCCCTTAAAAGCACCGGTCAGTTATTCTCCAGGATATCGCCATGTACTCAAAACGTTTCCTCCTTGCTAACCACGTTTTCAAAAACGTCTCCGCCCTGCTTGGCGCAAATCCAATTTTATTCGACATCCGAACCAACAAATTCTATAGCACGCCTTATTCCCGGTTCTCCACCCGATTTAACTTGATTTTACTTATTATTCAATTCATATTTGGCACATTTCGCCTCTTCACCTTTGGATATCTCTCAAAGAAAACTGATCACGAACTTTTTATCTTCAACGCTACGTACATAATAATTTTGGCCATGTTCATCCCCCAAATTTGTTTAGTAATTTTGACCTTTAACTGCCAGGATGAAGTCGACTGCTTGAACCAGGCTCTACAGTATATGTCGAGAATTAGAGAAAAATGGATAACATTAACAGAAAGAGAGTTCCTCTCATCTTACCCCACGGGATATCTTCTTGAATATTTTCACTATGTTGTAGCAATAACGGTGGCGGGTTATTGGTTTTTTGGATGTGTTGCAATTTATTTGATCGAGATTTTACCGTTTCATTGGATTTCTCTGATTCCCGTTCAACTAAGGAGCCGCGCCGTTTTATGGGCGCACCTAGCGTTTTACGGGCATGAGATTCTTATTTCCTCCATCTCGGTGGGAATAGCGCTGCAGATTGTTAGTTCATACATTGGTAAGTAAAGGTTTTTGCGCAAGCGTCAAATTTATCCCCACTACGTATGAGAAACTTAGTGTTTAGGTGAGACTTCGGGGTAAAACATCCATTCGCAATCTCCGTACTATCTTGTAGTTTTTTTAATTTTGGTATAGACATGCATAATTAAGCGTCTTAATTTTTTAAAAATTTTTTAGCAAGCTACATAATTTTAAAACAATCCGTAAAAACGATTTAATTTATGATGTTATTAACTCTTTTAATCCAACCGCCTTCTTGATTCCCTTCCATGCTGAATTTGACCTTACCAAGAAATGTGGAAAATACAATACCCATTCTTCATTACGTTCACCGGACATACTTCCGCTGGAATATCGATGCCTGGAGTTACTGCATCGACGCATAATGTCTCACTTTTCCCTAGGATTTATACCGTTTCAAACTCTAGTCATTCAGTTGTCATTGTTCTGCAACTGGATGCTCCTCGCACACTGGGATGGGCTGGGATTCTCCCGATATATTATGTTAATTGGGGGATTTACTCTCGTTTCATTTTGGGCAGTGGTACTGCAAACGTGCGGAAAGTTTTACGCGAAAAATAAGGAATCGTGGAGACTCGTGGAGGACAAATATTTCCGAAAGTGGAGAAAGAGTGTGACACCGTTATACTTTGGGCATCCAGGATACTACGTGATTAAGCGGTTGAGCATATTAAAATTCTGTAAAACAATCATTCGTGGGACGTTTAGGATGATGGTAACGTTGAAAAATGTTTAATTGGTATTTGTTCTGGCTTTCATTTAATTTTTGTGAAATGCATTTTCAAGTTTCTGGAATTGACAAAAGCATAATCTGTTTTGTACCTGCTAAAATGTAGTACTATGTATAAATATACATCGACAAAGTCAAGGATATTTAAATGCGGATATAGTTGTATAAGTTCTTGAAGCTTTAGGAGCCGTAAATTAAGTGCGGGGTTGCGCATGCACTTCTTTCAATCCTGCTTGCATAAATTATGGTGCTTTGTTAAGCAGGACTTTTTGGTCTCCTATGGAGTTTGTGTATTACTAATTTCTAGATGTCTGCCTGTACATTTTTGTAAGTAAAACAATTGTCCAAGTGATTTAAAAAATTGTGTGTTTGCAACTAGAGTTAAAAAACTGAGTTTGTAATTACGTTAACTACCATCCTTCCGTAGAGTATTCATGTGAGACGAGTACGTATATGTAGGCATATGTATATAGGCGTAGTCATTTTCATGCATTATATATTCTATTCCTAAGTAATCAGTCACTAATGCCTATTTACGAAGAAATGTTTATCTCTATCTTGAATTACATATATGTGTACATATATATTTAAATAATAGAGAATCTCTAACTACCCGGTATTTTTTTTAAAAAAATCCCCAATTGTATACCAATCCAAACTTTTTTGCTGTCACGAATATCGATTTTATGTATGTATTTTATTAGAATATTCAATTATCTATGTATGTATTCATTGTTAGGAGAATTGATACGAAAAATGAGCATTTTGATTCATAACGTCTGAAATGAAATTTTAATATTTACATCATTGTATGTATATCCTTGGGAATTTTTAGAAGTATTTAAATATGCAATGACATGTTTTGCAATATTGTTTAACGATTCCTGGAAATGTTGACTTCGCTTCATCTTTGTTCCCAGCTCAGCAATGTGTCTCACTAAATAATATCTTCATGCATTGTGAAACTGCATGAAAATGATAAATTGTGTAAAGATTTGTTGAAAAACCTGTGTGAAATGGGGACAAAATTATTAGTGTATTATTTTTTAATAACTCGGGTACATAAATTTGTTTTTTACCCCTAAAATCAATTGATTATTCAACTTTACATAATCATTCAAGGAAATCTCGGTTGGGTGGTTGACCAACATGTTGTGGATCCTTTTCAACTAAATGAAGCAAAAAAATTCATATGTACACTCTAAGAAATCCAGTCCTAAAATGATACCAGTAACAGCTCGCCTTTAGCGTTTTACCATATCGATGAAAAAAGTACGGACTGGTATAATTTCATTACCAAATGGTAGAGACTTTAGTATCGGGAAATCAATACTTTTGTCACTGTCCAAGATTCTGACGTTGTGTAAGTACATAAACAAATAAATATTACCTGCATCCTGTGTTCAAACGAATTATACAATTGATTTCCAAGTTCAACCGCCTTTATTTCCACGGCAACACGTTTTTCCTAAATGCATCACGACACAAGCCATTAAGTGAACTACAGTCTGTCTGTAATAATGAAGGGACCGTTCATAAATTATGTAACACAAAAATCCCGACTTTCTATATCCCCTTTTAATATGTGTAACATAGGCAGGAGATCATACTGCCCCTCTCCGTCCTTTCGCTTTACATATTTTATGAACGGTCCCTATCGCATATTCCTAATGACTTCACTACCACCTTTGAAATCCAGACGGCGACAGTAATTTTAAAATACAACTTTGCAATATTCATCCCAACGCTGATCCCGATCATGGCAACATGCATAAATTCCGCCCTCGAATCTCCCACCGGTCCGCTTAAAATGGTGACAACTGCAAACAGTGAAGATGCCGAAATGTAGATGGTCACCAGAATTAAGAGCAACTGCTGAAAGGCCAAATATTGCCCGCAGTGATCCGCTTGAGACCGAATTTTGATCAGAATTTGTTCCAATTTTGACGTGTTTATGGCTGTGGCTGGGTTTGATGTTAGGTGGTCTAGGATCTGTAAGTTGAATAGTTTATGGTTTGTATTTTATAATTAGATCCTTATCTTCTTCAGAAATTGATACAAGAAAGGGTCTAATTTAAAAATGCATACCATAATGTAAAAAAAACACATCTAGAATGCCGAAAAACTTTTAGGTATTAAAGTTTTACCGCGTCAGTAGCAATTTTTTTTACGGACCTGTATAATTTTAATACCAAGTGGAAACAATTTTAAAATAGCGTAATCAATACCTGCTTGACTATACTAACTTCTAACAGTGTACTTGACACCTTGAAACATTCATACTTAAGTAATTTGCGCTATAGTTAAACCACTTGTAACATTGGTGCAAGTTACGGGGCATTCATAAATTAGGTAATGGCAAAAGGGGTATCTACATAGCAAATGCGATTTTTTCGTTACGTAATTTATGAACGTCCCCTTACTCGCCAAATTGCCTCACCATTTCGAACCCCACCTCCACCCACTTGAACATAATGATAGCCTTCGTATCCTCCAAACCGAAGCAGGTCACGCCCGCGTATGCATACGCCAGTATACGTATGCAATTAAGTGGATACTTCAAATCGAACTCCCCCGAAGCAATTAGCGTTCCAAAGACAAGTGATGGTAAAATTACGTAATATAAGGTCAAATTGTACTGAAATTTGGAAATGCTAGGTTTCTTGTCGTTTCCAGTTCCACACCATTCTTCAATTTCGTCTTCAATGGAGTTCCACCGATTAAGCCAGTTCGCCAAATCAGGCGATTTCACCCAAGCGATTATGTAGTCGGTTATGATCCTAATTATGGAAATGATCTCGAACGAGAGCACTATTATAGCGGTCACTGGTGCCATTTGTAGAATTTTGATCGACTCGGGATTATTTGTCCCACTCGGATGTGGAAAACTGTGCAAGCAAAATTAAATGCTGTAATTACTAAAATTTCAAAACAGCAATGGAAATCTACATATACTTTAAATACGTTGCCGACAAATTGCCACCCTCGGAGGCACTTTAGTGCTCTTAATATCGGATAACGATTTCTGAGACGTACGGCAAAGAAGTCGAAAATTAGTGTAACAAATACGCTTGACTCCAGTTACATTTAAAAAAAACTGAACATTTTTATTATCTGAATATGTATGTATAGTCTTTTTTGGTACAATGTTTTAAATTTTTTTAAGAACGATGCCGTGTTATTCGCACATGATTTTTTTTTGTTTTTTTTGTTTTACTTATTTCTACATAGGTTTACTTGGTGATAACACGTCTCCTTAATCGTTACCCCGAAACAGAGCACTATAGTAAATACCTCCGCGGATGACGATTTGTCTGTAAATTATTTAGAGTGTGCACTTTAGAAATCCAGTATATAGTAAAATAGATATGACAAGCGATGTTCCAACAGTTGTGACTTGTGACCCTACCAAGGTAATAGATCGGTATTAAAATTTCTCTATGCCGTTAGGAAATTTCTACCCACCAGCATAATTTTAATACAAAGTGTAGCAACTTTAACATCGAGAGATCGCTATCTGCGTTCCTGTACCAGATTTTTAACAAATGTAAATATATTTACACGTACGTTTCACCCGTGGAAAATAGTTGGAGCCCCAGCGCCCCATTTTGCAAGAGGGACACTACGCAAATCGCACTAATGAAGAGGGTAGCGCTTAAGGAGCAAATAAATGGAAGGTTGCACCATTTGAAGACGTATTCGACTTTTCCACCTTGCCGTAGGTGTGGCTGGATTGTTAGCGGACATCGGCCCATGACTCGGAGGAATTTTACGAACGTGGTGAACTGCCGGGTTAAGGCAGGGTTGGGGGGTGTTGGTGGCCGTTTTAAAGGAAACACCGTGATGGTCACGGGCTTCTGTAAAAGTTCCATAATACTAAAATTCGGGATGATAAATGATTATTTCAAATTCGAATATGCGGTTTAGGGCTGAGAAAAGGATTTAGGTTATTATATACATGCATAACTTGTTTATTTATTCTTGTTGGGTGGGGTAAAGGATTAGTTGATTGATGCAGAAAAATTAAGTTAATGGAATATATTTACCATACACACGTGTGCACACATGTTGCATTTAACTTCATGTAAGCTCATTAACTTTTACGCCTTAATTATAATTAGGCACGGAAAATAATTTTTCCATTGGGTGCCGATTGCTACGAACTTTGGTTTGAGTTATATACTTTGAACTTTTTCGTATACATACATATTTACATACACACATTTTAATTGCAAAATTGCTAATAGTCATAGAAAATTGATGTTATCGTTCTCTTTTCAGTTACAATAAAATTGTTGTTCTATTTTTAGTAGTGTATTGCATGTGCACTTACTGCAGAACACGTCATTACGTTAATCACTCTGTTTTTACCGAATCATTGTAGAAAATTTGTACATTTCTACTAGAAATGGACTACATACTTGTATAAATAGATAAAAATGGTTTCAGCACTACGTATATTAAAGCTACTATTTTACTAACTTTGTACATCAAATAATTCAAAGACCAACCACTATGGAAGTCAAACCTCACTTGCAAAAGCTGATAACACAGAAGGAGATTTAGTAAATTTCTTAATTTCAATTATGAATGGACATCGAGTTATTATGTAAATTATCCTAATTTTGTAAATATGTACGTGACTTGCATAAGTACGATCGAAAATCTATACATACTTTGCACAAACATACTGGTTAATATGCAGGTGGAAATTATGTAATTTTGATGAGTTATTTCCACTTTCAGTTTATTTAAGTGTACGAAGGGGGGACAGGAATTAATCGGCCTCGCCTTGAACGGGGGTCATTTTGCCCCACTTTTTCTATTGGAGTGAAAGATAAACTCATATGTATATCAGATCTCATAGCTTAAAAATTCATGGTCACGGCTGAGTCGAGGAGATCGTCTGATGTGATCAAAAACAGCGAAACTGACAAAATCGATAAAATTGAGCCCAGGTTTGACACGTAGATTTAGACCTTCAAAAAGGAAACGAGTACTTCTTTTTGCATTTAATCACTGGTTAATGAACCTAGGCTCAATGTTATGACCTTGAAATTAGAAAAAACAACAAACAGTGGAAGCACCCACCCACAAAGGAGCAAACCGGGAACAGAAATTGCTATGATGGCTTTGGCCACTGGTTTTGGGACTCAGAAGGACTTCTGCTTCTGGACGCTTCGGCTCCGAAAACGTCGATACCTGGTGCCTGTCATACCGCAATTTTGAAAAATTAAGCCAAGCCGTTGGAGAGAAAAGACGAGAACAAAAATCACGTTGCTCACGAAAACGCTCACGACGAATTTTCAGTAAAAACTCCAAACTTTCGATGGGTTGCCATTTTAAGCCAAAAAATGTCAAAATTATTTCAACCCCCTTACAGCCCACACCTGGCCTCTAGTGACTGTATATTTCGAAATTTTCAAAAAAACCTCAGGGGGAGGAGATTTCGACGATTGACGAGTTGAAAACAGCGTTTTGACTTTTTTTGAAAACCATTTATAAAATCGTGATAGAGTATTTGAAATTTAGCGGACCAAGTGTGCTGACCTCGCAGGGGACTACATCTAAAAGTAGTAGGGCAAGTACCCCAAATTTATTGCCGGATCATGGCGAGGCCGACTAATTTCTGTCCCCCCCCCTCGTACAAAACCTCTTAAATACTTACGTAGCCGACTTGAATCGTTAAGTTAATGGATCACAAATTTCTCTATCCAAAACTCAAATGCGTCGCTACAGTCAATGGAACAAGTATTGACAACACCCACACAAGCTAAATAAAATTGGCTATAACTTTGACATACATTATCAAATTAGCATGAAAATTTGTACGCATTTAACAAATCCAATGTAGTGTTCGATTATAATCATGTTTCTGATTTAAATCTAGTAAACATAACACAATCCTGATTTTGACCCCCATGAGTCAGACGCAAACCTGCAAAAAGTATTGGCAACATGTGGCCAAATTAATTACTCGAAACAATTTTCTTAACCATCTTCCACATTTCGTTTCGGTAAGTTAATTAGGTGACAAAATAAGAGGTTAGCTACATTTTAAGTCTAGAGTTGTGTTGTCTGGAGCCAAAATGGCGACACCAAACGAGCTGTATTTGGCGCGGCGAGAAATAATCATGTCTCTTTCACAAAAAAGCGTTACTATCGAAAAATCAAAGAGAAAACATACTTTTCCATATTTACTATTGAATACGTAGCAAAGAAATATAAAATGACAATCTCAGTTTCTACTTTTCCATGATGCGGAAGAAAAAAGTCATCTACGCCCAAAACCTAAGGATGACTCAAGCAACGAACCACTCGAGAGCGGAAGATTTCAGCTTCCAAATCCATGTTAAATTGGAGTATCAACTGTAGGGTCAACATATCATACAATATGGTAATCAATCAAAAA